TTATGTATACTACATTTTTTCTTTTGAAAGGAAATTGCTAAACGCAATATTACTATCAGGAGGGGATTTGTTTACGGCTACGCGGGGATTAGACAGGGCGAAGAATTAGATCACATCGCTCAGCAATCAGAGAAACTGGCGAGTAACACATCTCGCAAGATCAAGACCTCCACGCTTCTTCGTCTGCTCAGCAGACTCTGCTGGCGAATGTGATATTTTCTCAAACGTACGTTACCGGATCCGGTACCGCAACATAGCGACGACATGACGATAAATAGCTTAAAGCAACATACAGTTGCACCTCCCAGAAATGATTTTTCATCATTGATATGGCGTGATAACGCTGAAAACTCTGAATTTCGTGATCTCCCAATACAACATGAGCGAGGGTCAAATCTACAGGAGAAGTTTGCATATGTACAGACAAATGGCTAGAATTACAGAGACCGTGTGAAATCTACAGAATTAAGGACGTGATTACAGACGAATGAAGTAGTTTTACAAAGCTGTCGGTCGAAAGCACAGACACAACTGCCATGATTGGTGGTGACTTCCATGCGCTATTCCGTCTGTAAGCGGATTGGCCAGCTGAAATAGTCTCGTGCTCAAATTCTAGTTTAGTAGTTTAGTCCGGATATAGACGTTCATTCGCCAAACCATAACAGCCCCACAGAGACACCTTCATCTCAAGAATCAGCATGTCTAACTACACTTTGAAGTTTATTCGCTCCTGCTCGACTGAGGCAGACATAAAGGATTTTATCGATATACAGAAGAGAAGGTTGAAAGTCAAGAATCAACTCGAGAGATGCAAGGTGTGCTCGCCGAATGGGAATCAACACAAGGTGCGCTACATAATCTACAAGTGCAATTCGACTTCGTGTTCGGAGAGCGCAAGTAGCCTCCAGGGATACAACTGGTTTGTCAAAGTGCTGTTTTGCCAAGAAACCCTCAAAAGCAATATTTTTCAGAGTGGAGTCCACTTGATCACTAAATCATCACCCAAGACGTGTGGAATTAGGCTTGGTATGTAAAGATTTATTCGAGAGCGAGCTTCAACGGGTGAAAAGCCATCTCGCGTAATGAATTGGATGGTCCTTCACTTCAAACTGGAGTCAGCAGATCCACAAGAATTGTTACTTCGTGTTCAAACGCGAGTTCGGAATCACCGTAAAAACGTCCTGAACGACGAGCGACTTTGTTGATGAAATGGAGGCTCTAATTCAGAAAAATCCATTCTCAAGCGGCCTTGGCGACAACGTAGCCTTTGCTTTCGGGTATGCTGTAGGCTCTATCGGCGAACCCAAATTGGAAAGGGATCCGACAAAAGCCCGCTAGTGGTCGGGTTTGCGATAAAAACGTCTATTCGGCGACTTCAATATGCCAATAGCAACATGACCGATCTTGATGCAACTTTTAAACTCAACACTAGAGGTTTCCCGGTTATCGCTGTTGGAGTATCGAATTTGTGGCGGCAATTTCATTTAGTATGCATTTTGCTAGTGTCCGACTTGAAGCAAACTCAGTGGGAACATGCCATCCGTTCAATGTTAGACATGTACGTCACCGTTACGGATGAACAAGTTCACATCAGCTACGTGATGATGGATGCAGATACTGCTCAACGAAGTGACTTCGAATCAATTACCGTTCAGTGCCTAGATGTGGAGAGTCAACCAAAGTACATGATGTGTTTTTTCCACGTTATGAAAAACGTGAAAAAACGCATCACCTATCTTAGTGAATCCAAGAAACGAATAGGTTTTCGCCACATTTATCGCATTCACTATGCTCGGGACGGAGTCGAAAAAAAGCAGTGTACCAAAGAGGCGATAGCTGATTGGAATAAAGATTGCGATTTGAAGGAATTCGGTAGTTACTTTCTCGAGCAGTGGCTCACCGGTAGATTCTGGCAGCGCGTGGAAACTCCCATGGGCATGGCGAAGACGAACAGCCCCGTTGAAAACTTTAATGGACAATTCAAACAGTAGCACACGCAAAGGAGACTTCTTCGGCTAAACACTCTGTTCGAAAAGCTTCTGGAGTGTTGCTCTTTAAAATCCATTTTAAGCATCACGTTCGGGACTACAACGCGTGCATCAGTGGAGACCTTGCGTGCCTATCGTAAATTATCGGCTCAGAATGCGTTTAGTATCACCCTTGTCCCAGAAACAACGATCAACGTTCACAGCGATCGCTTGTATAACGTTTATCAGCGGTACACCAGAACTACAATGTAAAAAAACCATCAGAAGCGGAGGAGCAGTCAGCAGTTGAATACGATTTTGAAGCAGAGTTGCAACCCGCAATTGGATGGTTCGTTCACCCCGACTTTCGACAGTGTAGCTGTAGACCGTGGTTTAAGCTGGGTGCGTGCGTGCATCTAATAGAAGTGCTGAACCTGCTCAGCAAAGCTGCCGAAGGATCTGTAGCCAAGTAACAAGTCTTTGAGGTTAAAAAGAAACGCGGCCGTCCGGCTCAAGCTAGATCAGCTCTCAGTCTCAAGTAATTTGTTTCAGCTATTCAACACTTTTCGTTATTAAAACACTGATTTTTTGTTTTCTGAACCATTTCATTGCTCCACTGACGTTTTTATCGTTACCTATTGCTAAATCCATACGTATCGATGATATGGATGTGATCGTGCTTCCACGCGGCACAAACAGGTTTTACAACTAGAACTATTCCAACGTACAACACTAAAAGGCTTGCTCGGCAACCTTACTTGATCTACAACCTCTGACTTTCGAAACCACTTTTGTCGTCCTGAGCAACGATATGCTATGCATGTTGGCATCCAT